CAGAAAAAGGAGAGCCGCAGAATCTGAGGTGCCGACGGAAGGGAACAACTTAACTGCATGGGGCTTAGCGCGCTGCACGAGACTCCCAGGGGTCATCCGCCCGCCTGGGTGCCTCGAATCTCCAATTCAGCCGCTCTTCGGGTTACAACGGCGGGCAAGCGAGGGGGCATGGCCGAGACTCGCACCCCGAGAGAGGACAAAGGTTCCCGTTTCGAGCTATCTTGAATTGGGACAAGAGCGATCTATGGGGCCACCTGGCCAGAACGTTGCCGTTGTTTGGTGCTGGGGAGGGGGTTGCATGCCATCGGGGTTGGCAAACACTGGTGTCAAAACCTCTCATAATGGATCTGATATTGACCACGGGCGTTCTGGATTTTGACAGTTTGTTCAGGGCTCTGCTGGTATCCGGATCGGTTACATACAGCCCTGCGCATGTTGGGTTAGGTTGGTTGCATGAGCCTCCGCGCTCTCACCCTCTCAGAGCTGAGACACTGAGACAAGCTGCGTGGGGGTATTGGTGGCCCGTGCCGAGAGTTCACTAGTCGTAAACTCGTAATCCATTGGAACGTTCGACGACGAATCCATATACTGTAGAAGCGATTTGCCGCCATGCCATGTGCTGACTGCTGCGTGTTTCTGTTTCTGGGGAAAGGTGTCACCTCACAAAGAGCAGAGCGTTGATGTTGGCCTTTTGAAAGAACCCGACTTACTAAGAAGCAGCAACGACTTAGCCAAGACCGCCAACCGCCAACCTGCGCTATTCATCTAACGACTTTCCCGTGCGGCGCATTTTCATCCCAACCCCGATTTTCATTCTCACCCCAATAACACCACACTGCACCCATAACCCGAGATACCAAACCCGAAATAAGCTTTGATAAACGTTTCCGTGGCTTTGGTCGTCGGCCGTCTACGTGCCACGGAACCGGTTATCAGCAGATATAGCCTGTCTCGGAGGGTGAAGAGCCACTGAGACCGCCACACAGCACATCAATTGCTGCCATAGCGCCCCTTGGTTTCAGACCATTGTCCATACACGTCACACACCAGACATCGCAGGCCGCGCCGGCGTTGTCATTTTTTGGTGGTGCAGATAGCCGTGGCGCACTTCAGCCGCCCACACACTGGCACGCAGCTTATCGAGCCACACGCATTGACGTGATCGCCAATTGGGCCCTCGGCATCCAAGACTCCCTCGCGTCGTGAGCTATGCCTTGACGCCTGCCGGGCTCCCCTTGACACTTCCAGCCCGCCGCCGGTTATTCCTGTCATCGGCCGAGCGAACGCACCAAGTCTAGGCCGCCCAACGCGGCACACACTCTCGCGTCGTGCAGCAGCAGCAGCAGCAGCAGCAGCAGCAGCAGCAGCAGCACTGCGCTCTCCGTCTCTGGCCCGCCCTCGTCGCGACTGACTACTGCAGCCGGACGTGGTGGTGTTGCCCAGCTTGATGGTCGCTCTGGGACAGCCGTCCCAGGTTACCCCCCTCCCCCCTTTTCCGTCTCTCGCCCGTGGTCACTTAGATAGCACCCCACCCCATATAGTTCGCTCTGCTTCCATGCCAGCCTTCAAGTCGTCGGATCCTTGGCCGTTCTTCACTCCGTTTGGGACCGTGCAGCACAGCACCCATGGCCCAACCATCCCGCTCCACGTCGTCGTCTGGCACGACGATTGGAGTCACGATGGGAGACGACGACCAAGACTGGGACTTGAAGGCGACAGCTGAAGCAGGCGAGCCGGAGATGGCGCCCGGCGCAACAGGGAAAGAGACGGCCGCGTCAGCCTCGAAAGAGCCGCACCATCTTAGCCCTGTTGACGACCTCAAGGCCCGCCTCTCCATGTGGGGTGAGTCTTCTAATGCCCGGCGCGATGGTGATGACGATGAGGAAGAAGATGAAGGATCAGAGTACGAACCTTTCTTAGATCCGAACATGCCCGAAGAGGACCAGCACCGCCTCCGCACTTTCAGTACCCGCGGGTCGACGAGCTTCGACGACGACGAGGCCGGCCTCAAGCAGGCCGAGGCCGAGGAGGAGGACTCGCCCTACCCCGAAGTCCGCGCCGCCGTCCGCAACTACGACGAGGAGATGCCCTGCAACACCATCCGCGCCTGGACCATCGGCCTGGCCCTGATCTTTCTCGGCGCCTCCATGAACACGCTGTTCTCGCTGCGCTCCCCCTCCATTGGCCTCGGCGCCCTCATCGCCCAGGTCATTGCGTGGCCCCTCGGCCACGGCTGGGCAAAGGTCATGCCCAACAAGCAGTTCACCACTTTTGGCATCCGCTGGAACCTGAACCCGGGGCCGTTTAATATCAAGGAGCACTCCATCATTGTCGTCATGGCCAGCGTCTCCTTCTCGGTCGCCTACGCCACCGACATCATTCTGGCCCAGGTGGTATTCTACAAGCAGGACTTTGGCATCCCCTTCCAGCTGCTGCTCACAATATCGACACAGTCCCTAGGCTATGGCATTGCGGGCATGATGAGGAAGTTTCTCGGTCAGTTTGAACGGATTCAGTATCTAGCCTGGCAACAACTCCGCTTGCTGACTTTGCGCGCAGTGTACCCTGCTTCCATGATCTGGCCCGGTAATCTTGTCTCTGTGACGCTAATGAATGCAATGTACGAGAAAATTGACATAAAAGATCACACCGTCATCGGCGGCTCCATGCCCCGGTATCGATGGTTCGGCATCATCACCCTCTGTGCTTTCGTCTACTATTTCATCCCCGGCTTCCTCGCCCAGTTTCTGAGCTCGTTCGCGTTTCTGACGTGGCTCGCTCCGAACAACCCCGTGGTGAACCAGCTATTTGGCTACTCGACCGGCCTGTCCATGCTTCCCATTACGTTTGACTGGACCCAAATCTCGGGGTTCGTTGGGTCTCCTCTGATCCCGCCGTGGTAAGTCTACATCTCTTGGCATGTTGCTTCTGTAGCGAAGCAGCTAAAGTAGACTGCTAATGTGGTTACAGGCATGCAATTGCGAACACCATGATTGGCGTTGTCGTCTTTTTCATTTTATTCTCCTCTGTGCTTCACTATAGCGGGACCTGGTATGCTCAGTTCCTGCCAATGAGCGACTCCAGCACCTACGACAATACGGGAGGCAGATACAACGTGTCTCGGATCCTGACTCCCGAGTTCACGTTGAACGAAGAGGCGTACAAGAACTATTCGCCGCTGTTTCTCAGGTACGCCCTAGCTAACACACCCTACCCGACTTTTTGGGTGTATGTTGACAAAAGAGCAGCACGACATTTGCCATGTCGTATGGGCTGTCGTTCGCCGCAATCACGTCGCTGATTGTCTACACCTACCTGCACCACGGACAGACCATCTGGCGGCAATACAAGAACAGCACCACTGAAAAGCCAGACATTCACATGAAGCTAATGAGGAAATACAAAGAGGCGCCAACGTGGTGGTACATGTCGCTTTTCACTGTCGTAAGTTGTAGTCTCGATTGTGGGCCGCGACATGATTTTCCCGAGCAGATCTGATGCTAACGCGGCATGGCAGATGCTCGGGCTGGGTTTTGTCACCATCCTCGGGTGGCCTACCAACCTGTCCTGGTGGGCGTTCCTGCTGGCCGTCTTCATCTCGTTTTTCTTCTCGCTGCCGATCGGCATCATCCAGGCCGTCACGAATAACCAGATTGGCTTGAATGTCGTCACCGAGTTTGTGTACGGCTACATCCAGCCCGGCAGGCCGCTGGCGCTAATGATGTGAGTTGTGCCCTTTTTTTTTAAACGTCTGACTATGCTGATGGTTGCTTAGCTTCAAAACATTCGGATACATCACCATGTCCCAGGCGTTGAACTTTGTTTCGGATCTCAAGTTTGGGCACTACATGAAGATTCCTCCACGGACCATGTTCATGTCGCAGGTCGTCGCCACGACGTTCTCGTGCTTCATCCAGATCATGGTCCTGAACTACGCCCTGAAGTCGATCCCCGAGGTCTGCACGCCTACGCAGGCCGAGCACTTTACCTGCCCCGGAGGACGCGTCTTTTTCTCTGGTAAGTGTCTGCAGACTTGGCTGAGAGATACACGATGGAGAAGCGGTGCTGACAATTTTGTAGCCTCTGTCATCTGGGGCCTCATTGGCCCGGCGCGCATGTTCTCGCCAGGCCAGATCTACTCGGGGCTGTTCTTCTTCTTCATCCTCGGCGCGGTCGTGCCCGTCATCATCTACTTCGCGGCCAAGAAGTGGCCCAAGTCGCCCATCAAGTACCTCATGGCGCCGCTGATCTTTGGCGGCGCCGGGTCGATCCCGCCCGCTACGCCGCTCAACTACCTCTCGTGGGGCATCGTCGGCTACATCTTCCAGTACCACATCCGGAACCGCTACTTTGGCTGGTGGAGCCGGCTAAACTTTTTGACGTCGTCGGGTCTGGACTTGGGCCTGGCGCTCAGCACCCTGGTCATCTTCTTCGCGTTTACCCTCAACAACGTCCAGCCGCCCGCGTGGTGGGGCAATGACATCGTCACCACCACCATGGACTACCAGGACACGGCCATTCAGACTCTGGTGGCTGAGGGCCAGACGTTTGGGCCGACGTCGTGGTAGGTTTGGGGGGTTTGCTCTGTGAAGATGAAGAAACATTGTATGATAAAGAGATGAGGATGTGTAAATGTGTATGATGTAATGAAGATGTTGTACAGAGGATAGTTGTCGAAAGTCTTGCGATGGCATCTTGGAATCTCTTGGGCGGGTTCTCCCTTGGCGTTGAGGAGTAAGTAGGTGGGCAGGATAACGGAGTAGTCTGAGTTTAAAAAGATACAGTTAAGACACGGGAAATTAATACTCGATCGCCGTAAAGCGGGTTCAATTCCTAGTGTATCTCGCACGCGGGGGAGCCTTCGGTGGGCTCCTGGCGCCGCCCTACTACTAGGAAACTAGCCTATAAAGCAAATAAACCATCCGTTAGAGAGGAATTTAATACTCGATCGAATAAGAAATAAATATGTTGCAAGAGCAAAAAAGAAAAAAAAATTGTATCTCTCCCGCCGGGAATTGAACCCGGGTCCCGAGCGGAGTCTTCTCCATCTGAAGTTGACAAGCTCATATACTGACCACTATACTACGGAAGACGTGCAAGTGCTCGAACACTTGTGTAGGGTTAGGGTTTGATGCAGGGTTGTGTCTTGTTTTTGATTATTTATACAAAGAATGACGGAGAGGAGTGGGCAAGCGTTCTGGCACCAACATGTCTCAGTACGTTCGTTGTATTGTAGTTGTTTCGCAGGGGCTACCTATCTTATTCTCTTACTCTTATTGTATTGTACTACATCATATTATCTAGATAGGTAGGTGCCTGCCGGTAGATATCTAGATATTACGATCTTTTTTTCTTTATTTTTTTTCTTCTTTTAATTCCCGTGCGTCTGAGACTCGGGGATTTTGCGCACCAGGCACCACTCACACACGCACATGTCAATATCTAATGCAAATGCAAATGCACGCCAAGATTGTTTTTATACGGGCTATTACTGCGATTACGTCTTTCAAGTTACGATCTTCTCCTTCGGCTGCTAACGTTAACTGCTGCTGCTGCTGGCTCGGCTTGGACACTCTTTCTGACTGAGGTCATTTGACATGTCAGTCTTTGTTTTCCAATTCGCAAGTGCAAGTGCAGACAGAAAAGAGGCAGTAATCTGATCTAGGCAGGTAGCAGTTAAGGTAGATAGATAATCACATATCACTTTTTTTATTCATGTTTTGTCGAGCCTCGAGAGTCTAGGCCGCGGGGAAAGAAAGCAAAAAGGCAGGAGTGTTGACCGCTGGTTTCCTTCCCAAATACGTATTCCGTACTCTGTCAACTCTCAACCTAGGCTGTCAATTGATTAATATCGAGAAGAGCAAATGCGCGTCTCCTGTATATCGTTATCCTAATCCGTAGCCCGTAGACATGGCATGCACCTGTGTACAGTACATCATGTCTCGGGCTTGCTTTTGCCTTTTGCGGTATCTGGCTGAAGCGGGGTTGTGGTGGTGGTGGTTTAGGTAAGGAAGGTAACGTGGACCAAGACATCCCCAGGGGTCGGTGCTCCGAAGATGGCGACTGACTTAATGCTGCTGCTGCTGCTTGCTTGCTTATTGGCGACGAGGCGCGACATGATACTAATGAGACAGCTAGTCCAACACGACACGATACGACACGACACGAGGACGCCTTGCTGGAACGGGCAGGTGAATGGATGGATGAGCGAACGATAAAGTCCAGGCAATGGGAATTGGTTATTGCACAGCGTGCGCACCTGGTTTCTAGCGGTTTTTCGTAGTTGGATATCTGGAGTTTGGAGTTGCATCGGGCTGCCTTTCGTTCTCCATCTCCTCAGGGACCAGTTTCGGCATCGGTAAAACTTCCTGGAAAAAGCCCACTTATTAAACAAATTGGGCCAACCAAAGATAACTTCAAGCATGCCCCCCTCACTAACAATTCTTTGACTCGAAAGAAAGGGCAACTATTGGTTGCAGCGTCTTGAATTACAAGGTAGTTTTACCGATGCCGAAACTGGTCCCTAAGAGATAGGGAATGATTCTCCTCAAATAACGATGACGATGACGGCTGGACTGAGTACCAAGCAGAGGAGGACCCAACTCACAATTATAGAAAAATAACGAAAGAGAGAGGCTCGACCAAGAATTACATCCACAGTGAAAAACAAAGGCACGAATAAAGTGCTATACCTCCGTCTCATCTGGTCAGTCCTGGCTTTTTCCACATGCCCTCCCATCGAACAAATAACAATGTGACTACGGAAAATATATATACGCACATCATCAGATCAGTAACTTACTAAGTACACCATAGTACCCAAGTATGGTACCAAGCCCAAGCCCAATAATCCTTCCAGAAGGAATCCAGAAGGAACTGCCGCCGGTCTAGTACGCATTACTGTCTGGGCGCTTACGTACCTAAGGTACTTGGGCAATTCTTCTTGGTATTACAATCCAATCCCTGTTTGTTTGTTAGTGCGGAACCGCTGAGGTACCTTTTTTGCTTTACTTTCTACCTCAACAACAGCGCATCGCATTTTTTGTCGAATAAAAACAATTTTATTTAACTATTCTCTATTCATTTGTTTATGATCCATCCTTTTCTCTATATTACTAGCTTTTCAGGCCGTAAATTGGGAGATTCTTATGTTTTAGTAACTTGATCCCTGCTCTAGTTCCGCGCTAACAAACAAGGATTGTATTGTATTTTCCGTGATGTTGTACTCGGTCGTCAAGGTATTTACCTTCAAAGGTGGGGTTACATCTTGATCTTTTGACAGCCTAGCGAGCGAACCCCCTCGCGGCGCCCTTTGCAAGACATTCCTGAGAGTAGGTACTCATTTGATTTTCAGGCACGAATACATGTTGTGTGTGTGTGTGTGTGTGCGTGCGAGTTCGTGCTGATGAACGGTTCCCCGAATCGCACATGAATAACTACCTACACAGTACTCCGTACACATGTAATTATTTTATTGCTACTAGTGTGCACCCCCCCCCCAAATCCAATGGAAAGAAAACTAATCCATTTGTAACAAGTATTGGCTGTAATGAGTCACCTGCATGAGCCAATACTCACTTGACTTGTTCCCATCAGATATTTTCCATTCACTTTCCTTGGCTGGCTGTCCCCCCTCGGTCAACTCGACTCGACACCGCAAGTTCGTCCGTTCAAAGAACGAAAAGATCCTTCCCCGTGCGTTACAAATATTGTCTCTGCCGTCTGGCGTCTCGTCTCGCACGCACGGATCCTTCCACCAACCTCCACTGCTGCATCTACTAACTGACTACGTACTTTAGCCCAGGCTTCTCTTCTCCCAGTCAATCAATTACTGAGCAAAACGAACAGACGGACAGACAGGCTTTCCCAGTACGTACTGCGTATCCCGAGGTGCCCGAAGTTCTATCCCAAAAGAGGGAAAAAAGGCCATGGATGACGTCCCCGTCTGGGGCAACCATTCAGCGAACGAACACAGACCCGAGTGTCCGTCACCGGCGGGTGCGTCAAGCGAAACTCGAGGACTGCAAACTAATCACATACATATACACGTATACAGTATTGTTTGCTGCCGCGAGTCAGTCTACACTACGAAACATTATCTCCGGATTAAATTAATTCTATACGTATATATATTGCCATGAATCGTGCATCCAATCATGGCAGGCCAGTTTTAGTTTTTGTTTGCATCTTGCCCTTTCCCCCCCCCCAAAAAAAAAGTCAGTCGTCGGCCGCCATTACGAGTACGTATCTCCTTCAATCTTTAGACTGTTGTTTTTTTGACTCTCGAGGTCATCTCATCCTCGTGCTGCCCTAGCGCTGAGCCTCTTTTTCACGCCCTCACTCAGCACCCCCACCTGTCTCTCTCATCCCAAGCCGCACAGCCCTCACAGCCCTCACCACACCAAACCCGAGAAAAAAGATGCCATGAGGCAGGCACCTTGACCGATCGGCCGGTGAACGATCCTCCCGCCTTGCAGGGCAACGGGCCAATGGCCGCCTAGGGATTCCACGCCCTGCAGGTCGACGGGGCGGTCAGGAACCGGCGGCCTGTCCGGCTTACTGCATTCATCCAAGCACCCGTCCATCACTTCATTTTGCCATGTTTTCCATGTTTTCCATGCCTCTCCCTCACAACACCCCCTCCTTCCAGCCTAGTGTTGCAAGTAGGTCCCACCTGCCCCCGACAGACGGTCAGGGAAACGGACAGATATGTCAAAGAGACAGGGCAGACTCACGCAAGCCCGGCCATGCGGTGCAGCTCTGGTAGGTGCCTGCCTGCGCTGCGTGCCTGCAGCATCTTCCCACGGGACTTGGGTTTCAGCCGTGGCACTAAAAGAAGAGTCCATTCGACTCGCTCCCACTTGGCACCTGGGCTGAGCCAAGTTGCCAATGCCAACCCTCCCTTGCCTTCCCGGTATCCAGGGACCGGCACGCTCGCGCTGTCTTTCGCTGCCCATGTCCTTGTCCCCGGGATCGGCGAGAGGGATTGATTCACTGGCTGCTGGCAACCATGGTCTGTGCCACCACCGCTATTGCCATGCATGCTCCCTGCCCGTCCGTCAATCATCGTTGTCGTTATTATCACCAGCATCGCTCGTATCTCTGTCCTCCCGTGGTTGGCTTCTTGTCTCTTTGACCAGGTACTTTGGTGCGATGTGGTGCCATGTCGTTGGCCCTTGCGTCACGCTCGACATCGGACGGTAGTTCCGGGACGTAAGCCCTAAGCCCGAGCCTCCCTTCCCGGTGGGCGATCAAGGTGGGTTGGGTCGTACGCCCGCCATCCAAATCTCGACTCACACCGACCCGGCTTTTGTCCGTTGCCTATACCTGTTGCTTTCCCGCTTGTCTTACCTCTTTGGTCACACATACGCGTACAGCGCACACAGGCTCACGCAGGCTGCTCCTGAAGCAGCTACGCGGCGTCGTGCAGGCAGTGCCGAGGAGCGGTGTTGCTAGCAGTACTAGCACCCATCCTGCCGCCGTATTGTTGGTTACACACACCTTTTCTCAAGCCCCTTTATCTGTTGCCCACCGCCGCAAGTAGGTGAAGTGACTGGCCCGTATTAGCGTCGAGATTCAACAGCAAGCGCTCGGCTGCTCGGGCTTTTTATTGTTTCTCGTCTTTCAAGCTAACTGTGCGTTTGGTGTTGGCTCTGACCTGAGCGTGAGCCCATGGCTGCAAGGCATGACTGGCATCCAAACTTGTTGCACTGGTGTTGTGAGACGACCGTGGTAGGTTGCTGCTGAGTGAGTCGATCCAGGGTGGGGACGTTTGTCCTGCGGTTTCTCCTGCTGCAATGCCAGCAAAGCCTCGATATCACTTCGGACGAACCACCGGCTCCTCGAGAGCGTGTGCTTCGTCTCATCTCTTGCGAGTTGCATATATTATAAGCCCTGCTGCCCCTCGCTTTTTCTTGTGCAATCGTTCCACCCTCACCACGCACTGCCTTCTCTTTCTCTCGCTCTTCCTCCGCACTTGAGAAGACCTAGGTCGCCAGCCTTTATCAATTCTCTTTGTAGCATACTGGTCACCTTCTGGCCTCTTCCTCATCCTCAAGATGCATCAGATGCCACGCAGCATGTCTTTTGCAT